CCCCAAAACCCCAAAACCCCAAAACCCCATAATTTAGAATATTATTCAAATAATTATGAAATTAAACTTAAAATAATAATACTTTATCCTAATGATAATGAGAAATCCATAATTCATTTGTATATGTTTAGATCTCAATCATTATTCGCAGCCATTTGAGATCATAGATCATCATAATGATAGTTCTTACACTATTATACTAAATGAGCAGCCCATTGCTTGTGACTTCTATCAATTTCATTCCTGTGACTTAAATTAGAATACTTTCCTCGCCCGTTACTTACGATGCCATGATAATTACTATTCTTAGATTCATTTTTCCTGTGTTTATTGGGAGAGATGCTTTAATCATTTCGATTGAATACTATCTCTTAATCAGCATTTCTTCGCATGAAGTCTCTCTGTATTTTAACCTTCTCGCTATTGTTCAGTTGTCGAATCCCAAAAATCTCTTCTTTTTATTTCTTTTCTAATTCCTAAAGTTCTTTATAAATCTCTTTTGACTCTTTGAAGTGTTTCACCTATTCAGAGTCTCCCATCATGTTATATTTCTAAGCCTCCATGTAATCATCTAAGTCCTGCCCATTATTCATGAGATCATGGATTTGATTCTTCCTCTTTTTCTCCTCATTCTCGAAGAAATTCCAAAGGTCTAGGGATTGATAAGGCGAAAGAAGGTATTTATTCTTATTTGGAATTGAATCTGCTCTTTTCATTGAACTCTTAGGACTATTATTAACACTGTAAATTGATTCCATTTTCACAAATATTTGTCTTAATCGAGGGCTACCATCAATCCTGTTCTTTTATTACTAGAGCAATTGACTAAACGTCTATTCAACAATCTACTCTGGTCTTATTGAGTTATTCTTTGAATCTCTTCTTTGAGACAGCTATTGAAGCATTTTCTGAGTAATTTCTCTATTTTTGCGATTTTATTCGAGCTCTTCTATATTAATAGGCTATAACTATCTTTGAAAGTTGCTTCTATGACTCATCTCATAGTAATTTGATACACTTGGCAAGCTTTAAGTCTTTAGATTCTTAAGTTCAAGCTAGGGCATTGAAGATGAACTCAAAAGCTTTTTATTATTTACGGTAGTTTTGCTTTTGTTTGACTCAGAGGGTGTTTCTATCTCTTCATTTATGTTTAATTTATCGATCTGTTCATCTATTTGAGTAGGGGCATCTTTAAGTCTTTGACTCATAAAGCCAGTATTAGAGTCACGAGCCTGAACACTCATTGCCATATTATTGCCATCCACCTGTCTGGTCTATGGAACACTTAAATACTATTAGAATTTAGCCTTAGGCTGCAGCTTTGGTTTAGGCGAAGCTAGTTCTATTATCTGAGAGTTTATCTCTTCTAGTTACTTTTCGATACTCGATTTTTCGTCTTAAGCATGAGGTTTGAAATTTTATCCCTAAATTTATGGTATCTTAGATATCTAGTCCTCTTTTTGTTGTACCTACTTTTCAAGTTTTAATTTCTCCTCGATAAGCTGCTTTAGAGTCTCAATCCTTTGAATCTGTTCCTTCTTCTGCTTCCTTTCCTCTTAAGCTTCGCGTTTCTTGATAAACAATGGCTTTGCAATACTATTTGTTTTTTGACTGCGCCTTTGATCTATTTTTTAAATAAATTTTTCTACTTCTCGATGCTTATCCCTGTGACTCTATAAGGCCTTTGTAGACAATCCCAGGTTTAAACTTTCCAGATCTGGCAATTCACTTCCGTTATTCTGTGTAGCTCTTTGTTTTTCTTCCCTTTTATACAAAACCTTATTAATTAGCTTTGAATCAGGGACTAATTTCTTCATTGACATTTCTAGTTCGTACAATTCATCTTTTTTCATGTTTTGCTTGGATACAATTCTCTATGTCATAAAGCCTGTTCCCCTGAGGCCACTAGTACTGATTCCACCACCTGGGTTTTAGCTCCCTGATTACTTGCCTCCTCCTCCGTTATAATCTGCTCTCATCTTCAGTGCTTCTGGGTCAATATCGTCATTCAGGTAGTCATCATTATTATCAGGGTCGTTAGGATCATCATTTTCAAATTTATGATTGTAGGATTTTAACTAGCCATCTTCGAATTGCATCATCTGCTTTTTCTGAGCTATTAACTCGAAAAATCTTCTCTTATTGGCTAGAGTTTTTCTATTCTTAGACTAATTTTTAGCCTTATGGCTTTTAATTTCATAGAAAAAGGCAGCCCTGTCAATGTCCTTGCGCTTAAGATCCTATAGCTACTTAACTAAATCTTTTTTGAGGATTCTTTCTATCTCATCATCATTGAGCATTTTGTAAATTGATAATTATAATATTATCTGTCTTTTTAAATATATTAAAATTATTAATAAATATAAACTAGGAGATTTATTTGATTTTAAAGGAAATTATGAACTTTAAAAAGGTATTATATAGCTATATATAAACTTATGTCATCTTGCTTTTTTATTGATTTATCTGCTTCCAAGAATTCATAACAATAAAAAACTCCAATCAATTGTAGTAGCAACTGCATCCACCATTCATTTTCTCTTTATTTTTGATGTGCATCTTCTTTAAGTAGAGGCCTTGTTCATTAAACATCTAGTCATCTGCTTTGTCATAAAGCATTAGCTTTTTCTTGGATTAATCTGCGAATTTTTCTGAGTGAGCCATAGCTAATTTCAACATGGTCTCAAACACTTCATCCACATTAGTCCCAGTCTTGGCACTTACTTCAAAGTACGGTATCGTGTAGTTCTATTCATTTCTTTTTTGCCTATTTATATACTTCACCTAGATTGGATCTAGATTATCGCCCAAATTACTCTATAATTGACTATCCCTGATGGACTCAACTGCGTCGACACATTGGTTGGCTAAGTTTTGGCACCACTCCTTAGCCTTAATATGGTGAACCTGCCTCTTCTTCAAGTCACATTTATTCCCAATTAAGACAAATGGAAAGGTATGCTTGTCAAGTGGATCAGCAAACTTCAAAAATATGTCTCTCCATTTAGCTGCTCTTTCAAATGAATCAGAATCAGAGAGATCAAACACAAGTGCACAACAGTCAGCTGATCGGTAGTATGAGTAACCTAGAGATTGATATCGTTCTTGGCCTGCAGTATCCCAAATTTGCATCACTACCTCTCTGTCGTCAATGTTCACCGCCTTATGCAGGAAATCCACTCCGACAGTTGACTTGAATTGAGAGTTGAATTGATAGTTGATGTATTTCTAAATTATTGCTGTTTTACCCACTCCTGAGTCACCTAATAGGAGTAACTTGAAATACTGTTTGTTTTTAGATTGATTCATTTTAGATTGATTTCTTTAATTTTACTTTAATAGAATTTTAATTGATTTCAAAAGTTAACGTATAATTCAATTTCTTTACTACGGGGTTTTGGGGTTTTGGGGTTTTGGGGTTTTATTATCACATTAACTTCGAATTATTGATTTTCGCACTTTCATACTTCTACGG